TTGAACAAACTTTCATTAGCTGAAAATACTTCTATTTCGGTGCTTTGTGTCTATTGTCTTGATATTAGTTGTTTTTTGAGTCTCGTACCGATCTTTTGAGTTAATCTAATTGCAACTGATTTTTACAGTCTGTTCTTGTGTTGTACTGATACACCACTATCCCAGTTTAGCGGAGGGTTGAGCGCTCACAAACATGTTTAACCCTGCCATATTCTTTATGTGCCTGTCCCAATTCAGGAGTCTGAAGTTCAGTGGTTGTCGTTGGTTCATATCTGTCGACTCATATTTGATTTTTTGTAAATTGTTTTGTTATATATATTTAGGCCGTTAGATTTTTCGTTTGAATTGTTTATCATTTTTCATGTCGGGGACTTTATTAGCCGACTATATGGTATGGGTTTTTGTCATTGTTGAAAACCGTACGGTTGCCTATAATTGCTTACATCCATTCATTTGAACTCTGGTGGATAGTTGCCTCATTGGCAATCATACCACATCTCCTTTAAAGGATTTTTTACATTGTATACCTGACTTTTAAACACGTGTTTTCCTGAACAGGCATGAAATATTTGTCACTGGACGTTAAAAATAAGCCACCAACAATAAATCAATTTAAACATGTTGAACTTGTGTTAAATGAGGGGAAAACCATTTGATATTTTTTTGGGGGGTTGGGTGGGGGACAGGAGGATATTACATATGAATATAGCGGCCTGGTAAGAGCTGAAAAAATAGACATCATTAGCAACAGATTAAAATGAATAATAAATCCGCAAAAAATCGTCCTGCCCTTCCCCTCCCCAGAATATCAAATAATCGTCCCCTTACTGTTATTGTCCGTGTAGTTCTTATATTTATCCAGCTTAATTATCGTCCCTACAGGGATGTCCTACTAAGGCTGCCATACCATAAAAACGTTTATCACAAAGCTCACATTATATAATAGTTGCGTTCATAAATTTATTAATGTCATTTAGACTTAGCGACGCCATGTTTGTTATGTGCCTCTGTCGTCTAAACCACATATTTAAAAGGACACCAAGAGCTTATAACGAACACCCGTATATCAGAACGACAGCTAATGAACACCTTTTCATTGGAGGAGGCTAGCACCAAGACCAGCTAACACCTCTACGTGGGCTGGGCATCAAGATCAGCTAATGAACACCTGTGCAATGAAAGGACACCAATGCCACGTTATAAACATCTTATCCAAGTTGTAATCACTGATATTGTATAGCACTACAATCTGTGGGAATTATAAGACGTGTTTGACATTTTCTTCATTTGAACTTGATCAAATATGTGTTATTTCTAAAAGATATGAGAATGCATGGGACAAATGGTGGTTTGGTTTATATCGATTTGATACATATTTGTTTTGAATTATTATTTTATTTTCTTCTATCCTGTGACATTTGATTAAAAGTTAAACTAATACTGTTTTCTCATCATAACAAATGGCTGTGTTTACAATTCGAAAATTAAAAGAGTACATACAAACCTGTGCAGTTGGAAAAGTTTTAAGGCCTAGCATCTACCAGATATATAACAGTTAAATGCATTTTTATTTTGAAAGATAAAATCTTTTTTTGGAATAAGATCAACATTGTTTGTCATAACTGCAGATGATGGTAAAACAAACAAACACCTGCATTAAACCTTTGATATTGTCCACTCAGTTAATGCATATTGTTGTGAAGATATCTATTGTCCATATCCACAGGCACTTGTCTCAGAAAAAAATTTCCTATATACCTTAATATAACATATATATCAAAGAATACAATACAATCAATACAATACAATTGTTACCTGAGAGGGGGCATCTCAAAGATATAATCAAACTTAGTTTATTTTAACACCTTGTGCACAAACGAAAAAAATAAAATCCCACCAAAATCAAAAATTCATTTTTTTTTTCTGAAAAACAGAAATGAATTTAACTTTTCTATATCTAGTGGAAGCGAGGCTTTAAAACTTCCACTGCACCATGTTACTCTAAACTCGGAATAAGTTTTAAGTTGTAAACACAGCCATTTTTTTTTCCATTTTGTTATGATGAACCTTAATAGCAATCATATAATATTGATGGCAAGATAATTGTTCCTAAGGCATAGGGAAAATAACTTAATGTCATTGGTTTGAAATCTATTGTTGAGGATGCTGTTAGCAAATCACATTTTGGTGTTTGCTCTTTTTTTTTAATTCCCAGAATGCATTAGAAACTGAAATGATGAATCACAATAAAATGTTTCTTTCCTGCAATATATATAAATGAATTCAAAGTTCAATATACCATGTTTCAAGCTATTAACCTTGTTAATGAAGTTATAGACAATCACATGTTCCCATCAAAATCAATGTTTTCATAGGACAACAAGTATTCACTAGTAAATTTAAACGAAGCCAACCACTGACAAGATTGCTATCCTGAAAGAGGCACAGGCTATAGCAATCAATACTGTATAAAACTCTATGAAAGAAGGCTTGCAGTCATGATTACTGAACTTGTCACAGTGCATGTATTGCTTATGATGAATTCAAACGCAAAGGCTGAGAGGAAAATATGGTTATACTTTGCACCAAAATCAAAATATTAAACTATTGAAAACAGATCAGTTCTAATGAAAATCCTTTTAAAATATATAAAATAGTTACTATTAATTCAGAAATTATCGTGAGATTTTTATATTTGGGAATAATGCGAATCGGTGACTATCGCAATAATAAGAACTTGCATTTTGAAATCTGACACATATATTTGTATGCAGCTTTTCCTGTAATCCCAATAATTATTCTCACATTTTGGTATGTCATGTTAAAATCGCAATAATAAATGCACACAAACATTTCTGAATTTACAGTATGCAAAAAAAATTATTTCTTTTAATTAATGTTGAAAGGGATTAAGAACAAGTAATCACAAATATTTTTAAAATTTTGCATTAAATCATGATAGAAAGTTTTGAAGTTAGTAGTATCAATACTGTTACATACATTATAGGCAGGAAATAATTATTAACTTTGTTGTTGGCTTCTGCTCAGGTGTTAGTGGAACAATTTGTCTTCAGTAAAATCAATCCATGCAAGAATCCTTACTTAATTAGCTGTCCACACCTATACAGAAAATGTAATACATTGTCTTGTCTTGTAATACCTGTCTAGCTTGACAAAGGCAAAATTACAGAAAGATATTTTTTTTATTTAAAAAAGAACACGTCAAATACAGTGGATTTCAATTTTATACTTACAGTCTCCAATTTCAGACAAGAAAATTATTATTATATAAAACTGCAATTCTTAATGATAATACATTATACATTACTTTTAATATAAACAAAAGACAAAAAAGACTAAAAAATGTTTTCAGATCAAATGAAGAAATTCATACATGCAAAGTAAACTTTTAAACCTCTGAACATTTTATTTCAAATCTGAAAGGATATATTGTTGAATACTGGGTAATGAACCAAAATACTGTAATTTTGTTATTATACAAATATGAATACATTTTTTTTGTATTTTTCTTAAAATGTAACGAGAACAATAACTCTGAGAATCTAAATAAAAGCAACAGTAGTATACTGCTGTTCAATAGTCATAAATTGATTTAACTGAAACAAATCCGGGTCACAAACCAAAACCGAGGGAAACACATCAACTATAAGAGGAAAACAACGGAACAACATAAACACTGAACTGCTACAAAAACAAATGCCAACATACATAGGAATGGACTATTTGATAAAATATGACAAATGTACATGGAAATTCACTCCTATTGCTAAGAATGCAGTCTTATGTAATAAATTGTTACAAAATTTTGTATAATGAGAAAAAATGCCTATTCACCTGTTTAGATACCTATAAATCATCTATTGTACTGCTATATATGTGGTGGTACTACAATAAAATGATATTGAACAGAAAATGATGCTGATAAAATTGTGTGTATACTTGATTAAGGTGGTACCAAACACCTTGACTAAAATTAATTTGGCTCCTTTAATTTCATAGAATTTTGACAAAATATTAACTTGGACCCTTTGACAAAAATATAAAAATTTTAAAAAAACTGCTTCGCCGAGCGCAGCTGGATACAACCGCAGAGGTCCAACCCTGAACAATTGGGGCAAAAATGGACACAATATTCAAGCTTGAAACAGGTCTGAATTTGGATTGTAATTAAATATTTGACACATTATAGGTTTCTGACACAGAATAAATGTAGTCAAAGGACTTGAAATTGGGTGTATGATTTGAATTTATATTCAATTGAAGATTTCTTGCTGTTGTGCAATACACTGTGCTGTTGCGCAATACTTAGTAAATCTGTTTTCAGACTATAAACAAAGAATAAGCAAAATAAATTGTGACCCCCTATTTTTTTCTTTGGAAAATTGACAATTTCTTAAATCTTGAGGAAAAAAAATTGACCCCCCCCCCCCCCAATAAAAAATTCCCCCGTCCCCCTTTCTCAAAAAATTAATTTTGAAGCAATTTTCTTTTTGTAAAATGTGGTACAAATTAAGAGACATCCATACACTTAAACACAAGTTTTGTCTGAAAACTAGAAAAATGCTTGTTTTAGACCCTTTTTGGCCCCTTATTCCTAAACGGTTTGGGCAATTACCCCAAAATGAATCCCAACCTTATGTTTGTGGTATTGAACCTTGTGGTACAATTTCAGAGCAATCAAAATACTTATACACAAGTTATTGTTCTGAAACTAGAAAAATGCTTGTTTTGGCCCCTTTTTGACCCCTAATTCCTAAACGGTTGGGACCATCACCCCCAAAAACAATCCCAACCTTCCTTTTGTGGTATTGAACCTTTTGGTTAAATTTCATAGAAATCCATACACTTAAACTAAAGTTATTGTCCGGAAACCAAATAAATGTCTTTGGACGACGCTGAAGCCAACGATGATGAAGACGACGATACCAATATATGACCGCAAAAATTTTTTGCAGTCGTATAAAAACTTGAACCACACACTTTATCGGAAAAATTTAATTGGATATATAGCAGTTTGACAAACACTTATTTTGATCATTGAGAAGCTTAATACTTCCTTAAAAATAGAACGTGATTGAAACGTTCAGCTGATTTTTACAGAGTTATCTCCTTGTAGTGTTATGTACCACTGTAAGAGAACAAAGACAGGTATATTTTTACAATTCTGTTTCTAATATTGTTTGTTGTTGTTTGATGCTTCGCCTTGTATACCTGTATCTAATTGGTACATACAGGACTATTGTGAGAACCTGATCAATATCATATTTGTCCTCAAGGTCTTTTCTTTGAATAAAAATTTTGTTTAAGGATGGATTGATGTTTAATTTTCAGTGGCAAATATTGCATGCCTATTCAGGACACGAACATGTGATATGAATATGACCCCTGCTTTGAAAAGGTTGATCCCACAACCTCACACACTCAAGACAAGTACTCTACAACAAGACCACAGAGGAAGTTACTACATTCAGGGCATTTTAATTGATATATTGTTCAGATTTAGAATTTGGTTTCAACATGACAAATAAAATCTATAATTGTATGAACAAAATGATTTTAAAGATCAAAATACAACTCAAAGAACATCTTAAAATGGTTTTAGGTAGAATTTTAAAAAACCTACTTGAAAGTTTTGCATCATGATGACATACACCCAATTGTTATATCATTTAATTAACCATTAAAGCCAATTTGTTGAAAATGAAAAAGAGTGAACATTTTAACTAATGTATGTTGTATGCTTTAATATACGTTATTATTAAATGTATGCTAATACACTGTAAACATAAGGATATGTGGTATGATGATAAGTTTTTATGTTTTCAAAGTTTCATCACATTAAAAAAATATTTTAGATCATGTATCTATGAATAGTTTTACTTTTTAATTAAATTTACACTTTATAAATTCATATTGCAATGACTAAACAATGATGTCTTCATACTGTCTGGCTAATAAAATTGAAGAAGATTTATATCTGACCTAGTTTAAATAGTTTAGCTCCTAGTTTTCAGACTGTTACCATAGTGAAGGGTCAGTAAACATAATATCAACAATTCAGAAACTGTTAACACATGATATGTCTCACATTTTAAAAAATTTTGATAGTAAAATGCAAATGTTGAAATTAAAATAGCAATATTTACCATGTATAAATTTAAGTTATGCAAAATATTCAAAGACAATGAAGAATGACTGAAGGTACAGGGCCAAACAATCTCCTTGGAAATGAGATGTACCAACACTAATACAACTGCTTACCAAATATCACCCATAAACTGACCTAATCACAAACTAATACATCGATGATGCCACAGCCACCGTCGGAAACAGCATACCCAAGTCTTGTTTTTTGACTCAGTCAAAGCGAGACAATAAAAAGCTGAACAGCGTATGAACTTAATTGAATCTTTTGATATAAGTACGAGTTTATTATTATTGTGATATGTATCAAATTACATTGGATTTATTGATTAATTGTGGATACAAATTTTTCATGGTTTTTTAGACTCCCAACTACATGTTTAGTAATACTAACTAATAATTATTTCGGTTTGCCCAAGATGACAGAAATAGGGTACAAAGCTTTCAAGAAAATGATGCTTACAAATGGAAATAACAAAAACAAGATGTTACAAGCAATTAATTAAAGTATACAATAGCTCATTTATTAAACTTCTGTGTATAAACTTCCATGCTAAATGAGTAGCTATAATCACACCTAAAAGTTTTGTCAAAAATGGGGGTACCATGCTGGCTTGATTGAGAGAAACTGGCAGTTCAAACCATGAATATTTGTAACAAATATAGATGAAACCGTTATAATTCTTCCATATATTTATACAAGATTTTGTTTGAAAGTACAGTACATAGAAAGCCAGCCTTGTTGGTAATGTCAAAAAGAATTTCCATAGAAGTTTATTTATTCCATTACAAACAGGTACAGGTTCATCAAAGATTTCACCAAATATATTTACTCCTGAAAAGTTTCAATCATGAGGTATAAAAGGAATAACTAAACATTGATAAATACCCAACAACAAAGCTGGATAGAAATAATCACCAAGTGTCACATTTGTATTTGTTTCTAAATCTTTAAGAAATAATTTAAATATTCTAAAACACTGAATGATTATTCTTTATCCACAAATTTGTCAATTAAGATTTCAGATTTCACTTGATTGAACTTTTCACTTGTAACTAGCAAAGCACATTTTTAAGTTGGACTTTCATGTTTTCAAATGCCACAATCTATAAATTAGTATCCAATAATTATTGATTAACTATTCTATGTCATAACATTTATTCAAACATATTATCCCAAAAGGAAAGATAAACAAAACTACACTAGTACTATTGTAAACTACTCCTTAGTTATTTTTTAATTTAAAAACACTTTTTCCTTGTATAATCCACCACATTTGTAATGCCTTTTTTATTACTAATATTAAATAATTTTAGAAATCAACATCTTTCATTTAGACATAGTTGACTACGTTTACTATCATAGTAATGCCCAAAATTAAACAAGAGTTGACACACAAAAATGTCTCACCTGCTGCAATATTTAAGTTATTTGCAAGAAAATGAGGCCATGCCAATATATACTCATCGTAACTAATCCAAATACCAAATACTGTAATAAACTAATTTTTACCAGCGATTTATTCAAGGGAGATTTTCTTATAGAAAAAATACACAAATATAAATCATCACTAAAACTTCAAATTGGATCTTCTCATACATAAATTCTTCAAATTAGAAAAAAATCATGAAAATAACTCAATGCAAAATCAACCCATAATGGCTAAACATAACAACACAATTTACTAAAATATTATTATTCTCAGTATTATTAAACAACTTCCAAGTAAATAGTGGCCAAGCCTGTGATAGAGGGAATAAAATATCAATGTCTTTCCCATAGTTAATGTTGACTTCATTGCAAAAAAGATAACACCTTAGTCTCTCCTGCAAGGTTTCATAATCAGCAAGACATCAAATGCAGTCATGCTTTTTTTCAAAAGAGTTCAAAGTTCAAATCATTAAAATTTAAAAAAATCTAATTTCTCTCAATATGTAAAACTACAGTTCATTTTAAGTGACTTTTAAAAGTATAATTTAATACATAATAATCTACAGCTTAATACAATCTATATACATTAAAATAACTGTATGACTGGCGTTACTTATATAATCAAAATTATTATTATTTCAACAATAATTGTAAAAAGCATGTTAAAGTGATTGTATAAATAATACAAAATGACACACTCTTTCAATCTCACAAAATTATTTTTCAATCAATTAATCAATCAAATCTACTGTGGACTCATTATTATTCATGAGATACCAGTTTTCGTGGATTTCGTGGGTGAACCACAAATTCAAATGTTAAACGATGTGCAAAATTACTATAGGCTTGTATGTATACTTTGGCAAAACCATGAAATCAAATATTCACAATTTTTTAATTTTTTCTCAATCAACTACTTCTACTTCTACCACTAATGACGGTGGTCACTTAGTGGTAGGAGTAGAAGTCGAAACTAAAATTAAAACCCACGAAAATAAATGAATCCACAGCACACAATTTTTAAATTAAAATCCATAGCTTTGGTTGATGTCAAATTACAAGTAAATGATTTATGTTTGCAATTATAAAGTTGCAATTAAAACTATTATAAAGTACTTTTAAAACTTGCATTGTTGAATCTTGAATAATCTTAAATTATGAAAAATATTTTACACTGAAAGAGCAAGACTTTAATAATACAACATGCTCTATATGTTCTTAACTATTTGGTTGATAACAATTTTCATGGATTTCGTGGGTATAGTTAAATTATAAATTTCTGTGTCCAACAAAATGCACAATTCCCAAAGAATTGAATGCAGAAATTGTCATAACTATGAAATTCAACATTCAATTTTCATCAATGCAAGAGAAGTGATACTCCCCAAAATTTAAAAAAAAAGAACAAAAATAAATCATTATCTGGCCGAAAAAAAGAAATGAAGTAGCACAAGTGACATTTTAAGAACTATAGTGATGATAATGGGGAGAAGTTTAGAAGACTTTTCATCAACCATAGCAATTTTACTACTTTCCTTGTACTATTCAGTTTTAATCATTTTCTTTAATACTGAAAACCAAGAATAAGAGAAGTGAGGTAAAATAAAAAAAAAATTGCCGATAATCTTTGCTTTGTAGAGACATTCTACTTTGTGGCATATAATGTGATACAATATTAATATTACATAAGATAAATATTTTGACTTATGAATTTTAAAATCTTTTTTTTATTCAATATTGTTTGATACAATATTTTGACCATTTTTTTTTATTAGAACAGACATCATTCTACAATCTACATACCTGCCTGTATTAAATTGGATTTAGTAAATAAAATTTACTTAATTCATAACTCATTAGTTTTTAAAAACAAAGAAAGATAAAGCATTCAGACTTATACTCATATAACCTCCACAACCATTCAGTTAATATCATTTCACTAATACAGCAACAGTTGTGTGCAGATCAGTGCATTCATGGAAACTGTAGACATTCCAATTCCTAAGAGACAGAGCATCCTCCTTGTTTTTCAGGAGTACCTCCTCCCTCAGCCCTCTCTATAGCAGACACTATCTGTATAAATACTTCATTCACAGTCTACAAACATACAAATCATGAAACAATCAATATTCATAATTCTATAAACTCAGAAACTCAAATGTTAAATACGCATGTGTGGAATTTCTGACAGTTGGTGTTCACATGATGTTGTCTCTGCAATTTTGTGGAAATATTAAAGAACCTTTGTGAGCACGCTCACATACCCCACGCCCCCCACATTGTCACTGGACAAACAAAATCGCACCAGATTCCTAAGTTCTAAGACTCACAAAAATTTCTTGTGGATATGCACATCTACATATTATGTCCTCATTAACTACAAAGTTTCATGAAATTCAGTTGTGTGGTTTCAGAGGAGTTGCGATGACAAAGTGTTGCAGTAATATATTTAGGCCAAAATTCTATGTTCAAAGGGGCAGAACTCCTAGAAAAAAAAATTGAATCACTATTTCCTGTCGATATGCACATCTACATAGTATGTCCTTATTATCTACAAAGTTTTATGAAATTCTGTTGTGTGGTTTCAGAGGAGTTGGGATGACAAACTGTTGCAGTAATATATTTAGGCCAAAATTCTAAGTTCAAAGGGGCTAACTCCTAGCAAAATAAATGGAGAATGTGTCCATGGGTCACAGATGATGACCCTGCTTGCATATAACGTTATAAAGTCAAAATTCGAACTTTATCTGAGTTTTGTGGTAATAAGCATTGTGTAGAAGTTTCATAATATTTGGTTGAGGCAACTTAAGTTAGAGAACGGGAACCAAAAATTTAGCAATTTTTCCATTTTTAAAGATGCATATCTCTAGAACAGTAAAAGTGACGCCATCCAAATTCAAACTTGATCTGTGTTTTGTCGTAATAAGCATTGTGTATAAGTTTCATAACATTTTGTAGAGGCAAACTAAAGTTAGAGAACATTAAACCAATTTTGGGACGTACATATGTATGTACAGATCAGTCTTCACGCCTAACCACAGGCCCAGCAGCCATGGCTTGTAAAATTGCTTTCGGGCCTGTAAAAATAATCTCTACAGGCCAACAGAATCTAACTAAAATTTTCCAAAAATTGAGAGCTGGGCCTGTAGATTTAAAAGTTTATCATGAAGACTGATAGATGGACAAAGGTAACACTTAATGCTTCCTCCGCTGCGGCGGGGGCATAACAATTGAATCATAATTTTCTGTTGATATGCACATCTACATAGTATGTCCTTATTATCTACAAAGTTTCATGACATTCTGTTGTGTGGTTTCAGAGGAGTTGCGATGACAAAGTGTTACAGTAGTATATTTCAGCCAAAATTCTAAGTTTAAAGGGACATAACTCCTAGAAAAAAAAAGAATCATAATTTTCTGTCGATATGCACATCTACATAGTATGCCTTTATTATCTACAAAGTTTCATGAAATTCTGTTGTGTGGTTTCAGAGGAGTTGCGATGACAAGAACAGGACTGACAGACAGACAGACGGATGGATGAAGGGGTCAGAAACATTATACCCTGCGCAACTTCGTTGCATGGGGTATAATAACTTATCTTCTTTAAGGTTAATATCTGATCAATCCATTATTTTGTGAAGTACAAGTTATGACAAATTTTTAACAGGATAGTGTTTATTCCTAAAGTGAACTATCAAACTTCTCTTGTAATCTATGAGGATAATCATATTAGATGTGGTGCTAATCAAATTGGTAAGGTGTCATACTTTTAAAAATTTCAAAATAAAATAGAAAATGAAAATTTAGTCAAGTAAATAATTACTTTAAACATCTTATTTTACTTTAGAGGACAAATGTTCTTAAATACAGAATTGAATATTCAAATTTATTATTAAGAAGACAATTTGTAAAAAGATGAATGTTGGATAGATTGGTTTGCTACAAGCCACCTATGAATTCCAAAGAGTTGTTGCATGGGTTTTTTAATGTGCAGAACAAGACATTCTTTCTGCATCAATTGTACAAACTTGTCTTTGTTTAACTATATGACTACATATCTACCTCTTTCATGCAAAGAATAAACAGTGAGCAATGCTCACCTTTAAAATTATGAAAGCAACCTTTGAAAGTATGGCAACATAATTTCACAGGGACTGGATACCAGTATATAATACACTTTTATCTAAAAATATATAGGCCAATAAGACATTAAAAATAACCAATTTTCCTTGATTGTAAACTTAACATTTCAGACATGTTGTTCCCTTGACCTATAGTCCACTTTAAATCTTTTTTTTATTAATTTTGCTCCTAATAAAGATGATTTGACCTATCATCTTCATTAACTTTCAGCTGATGAAATATGGTATATATCAGAGAAGACATCCTTGTTAAATTGTACATTGTGCCATTAACTAGAATTTTAACTGAGAAACAATGTTAAACCACTGTTTTACGTTAGAGGAGGTCTGAGAGCTTGCAAATATGTTCAACCCTGGCACATTCTCTATGTTCGTGTCCAGAGTCAGAAGTTTGTAATTCAGCGGTTGTCAATGGTTGCTGTCTATCATATTTGGTTTTTGTTTATTGTTTTGTACATAATTTCAGGCTGTTGGTTTCTCGTTTGAGTTGTTTTACATTTTGTCAGACTCATTTTAGGGCCTTTTATAGCTTACTATACAGTATGGGTTTTGATCATTAATGAAAGCTGTATAGTTACTTCATTTGTACTCTGGGGGATAGTTTTCTCATTTGCAATCATACCACATCTTCTTATTCTTATATCAAATATTTGGGAAGAATAATGTTTGAAAACAAGTTGAGAACAAGATACATTTGTATATAAACTTGCATGATACTCTTTTGCAGAAGTTTCCAAGAATTTCACATTCCATTCAGAAGCAAGTTTCTTTCCTTCATCCACTGAGACTACTCTGTCATTTTGTAGATCTGTTTTATTTCCAACCAGCACTACAGGTATACTACAAAAATAAACAGAACCTGTTACTGCAAACATTTATTTTTGTCATTCCTTTCATTTATTGCGCATAAAAATGATAAAAATTGTTTCTTTAATTCTATAACAAGAATAAAAGAGACATAAATAAATGTGGATAGTGTCCACATGTGGACACAGATGATGCCCCCGCTTGCATATCATATAGTTATAAAGGGACATAACTGAAGAACGGAAAAGTGACGCTACTTAAATTTGAACTTGATCTGAGTTTTGTGGTAATACGCATTGTGTGTACCTCATAACCATGATAACATTTGGTTGAGGCTAACTATAGAGAACAGAAACTAAAAATTCAGCAATTTTTCTATTTGTAAACATGCATAACTCTAGAATGGTTGTGTATAAGTTTTATAACATTTGGTTGAGACAAACTAAAGTTAGAGAACAGAAACAAAAAATTCAGCAATTTTTATGTTTATAAAGGGACATAACTCAAGAATGGTAAAAGTGTTGCCACCAAATTTCGTACTTAATCTGTATTATGTAGTAATAAGCATTGTGTATAAGTTTCATAACATTTGGTTGAGGCAAACTAAAGTTAGAAAACGGAAACAAAAAAATTGTACTTGATCTTAGATTTGTGGTAATGAATATTGTGTATAGGTTTCATAATATTTGGTTGGGGCAAACTTAAGTTACAGAATGGAAACTAAAAATTTTGCAATCTTTCGATTTATAAAGGGGCATAACTCAATAATGATTAAAGTGACACTACCCAAATTCAACTTGATGTGTGTTTTATCAGTGGAAGTCAAAATTAAACATTGCATTGTATAAAGCATTGATTGTAGTTGATTCAACTATAATCATGGACAAAGGAAGATAACTCCAATTTAAAAAAATTACTTGATATTTAGAAGAAAATAAAAATTTTGCAATTTTTCCATTTCTAAAGGGACATAACTCTAGATGGTTAAAGTGACGCCACCAACATTCAAACTTGGTCTGTGTTTTATGGTAATAAGCATTGTGTAGAAGTTTCATAACATTTGGTTGAGGCAAACTAAAGTTAGAGAACGGAAACGAAAAATTCAGCAATTTTTCCATTTGTAAAGAGGCATAACTCTAGACGGTAAAAGTGACGCCACCAAAATTCAAACTAGATCTGTATTTTGTGGTAATAAGTATTGTGTATAAGTTTCATAACATTTGGTTGAGGCAAACTAAAGTTAGAGAACCGAAACAATAAATTCAGCAATTTTCCATTTGTAAAGGGTAATAACTCTAGAACGGTAAAAGTGATGCCACCAAAGTTCAACCATGATCTGTGTTTTGTGGTAATAAGCATTGTGTATAAGTTTCATAACATTTGGTTGAGGCCAACTAAAGTTAGAGAACGGAACCAATAAATTCAGCAATTTTCCATTTGTAAAGGGGCATAACTCTAGAACGGTAAAAGTGACGCCACCAAAATTCAAACTTGATCTGTGTTTTGTAGTAATAAGCATTGTGTATAAGTTTCATAACATTTGGTTGAGGCAAACTAAAGTTAGAGAACGGAAACCAATTTTGGGACATACGTACGTACAGACTGACAAGGGTAAAACTTAATGCCCCCTCCGCTACATTGGGGGCATAAAAATCATAGCTAATATATACAATACATATATTTATATTCATCAGCAAATGTCTCTACACATTTATTGAATAAAAACACTACAAACAGTCGGCTAACAGCTTTATGCCTTTTGGCAATACTCAGACAAATGTCCTTGATGATGTTGTCAATGATATCATCTTAAGACCTTCTTAAACTGGAATGGGGAGTAACTTTATATTGTTCAATTAAGACTATATATTGATCTCAGCAAAGTCTTTTGTTATTGTTTGGCTCATTCAATTGTACAAGGGGAACACTTAACATTTACTGCTACTGCAAATTTCAAAGTGGTCTGTCTTGCATACAATTAAGGTATTAAAATATATATACTAAAGCATAACTGATCATTCCTTATTAACAGGATTTGACTACACTGCTGATGTAAAAATTGCTTACACAGTACAACTCAACATTACCAAGCTCCACCCTAAATATAAAATCATTGATAATTCCCTTTCAGAGAAGCCAAGAAAAGCTTGACATAAATTTTCCTTGTATTATGAATGTAGTAATATTTCATACTTAAGGCAAACAGGATTTCGACTGTAAGCTGATGTAAAAATTGCTAACACAGTACATCTGAACGTTATCAAGCTCCAGACAAAATATAAAAGCATTCCATTCCATAGAAGCCAAGATTTAGCTGACAAGAAAAGGCATCACTGGACTAACAAAGGCTTTAGTTCATTAAATCTTGTTGACCTAGGGGTCTAGGTAGCTTGACACAGAGCAGGCAGAGATTTTACAGAAGCATGGGTACAAATCCAGTGAATGAACGTGGCTGTCTAAATTTCAGACAAGTCATATATATGTATTCATCTCAAATTTAGCCCAACAATGTTAGATCAGCAAATTTGTGTTAGCAAATTTTTGTTCTTCCCTCAGCGGGATTTAAACTCCTGCTTCTGTGCAACTGTGTCCAGATCCCAGACCACTTAACCAATGTCTGTCGTAAAGTTGTCACATGTTTAGACATAATAAATTTGTTTCATTAATTTTATCAGGTAGAATATAATAAATTGCCATTTTAGTTTTTACTGATCATTCTCAGGATGACATTTATAGTTCAAACTTACTTGGAAGATCCTTTCATATCTAACAACTTATCATACACAATCTTAATTACATCAAAACTGAAAATATACAAACAAATATCATATTAATACAGCAAGCATACGAAAAAACAGCACTCAGTGACATCAGTTTTAAACAAGGTTTCTTAATTGTAAAGTTGAGGTAACTCTTCAAAAGTGCTACACATTTTATCATGATTTGGTTGAGCATTATGAATTATGTACGTGACAGATAACAACAGAGATGCTCTATATGTTGTAGTCACAATCCATCAACTATCTATTCCTTGTTTATGGTATCACTAAATGTGACTTTTACAGCATCACTAGCCTGTCATAAGTTACACAACAGCTGCCATCAATCAATGTTTATTTACTTGGTTTGTGTTGCTTTTCCTCTTGTTTTCTGTTGTATTTTGTGAGATCATATTAATAATAAAATCGCAGTAAATATTCCTGTTTTCATTTCAAACTTTCAAATTCTGCACATTTTAAGTTTTAAGATTTACATATAGTTGTTTTGATGGTTCATGAATATGGTCCAGAGCAGATAAGTTCACTCCTAGTTTTGGTGCATTCTCAATCGTTTGTTTTCTTAGTAATGTACATATTTACAGACTGTTGTTAGTTTTTCTCCTTTGGTGTTATCATGATGGTATAGGCTGTTTTTTCTGCCACTTATTTTTTATTGTCCCTTTGTTTTTTTTCTTCCTCTTTTTTTACACATTACATGTATATTCATGTTTATGAAAAATTTACACATCCATCAATGATTATTAATAGCTACATGACCATGACGTAGTTGTAAAATTCTATTTTCTTTTAGTACATGAATCAAACCAATTATTCTTACACAATGAATCAATGGTATTTTAAACAATTTTTAGTAAACAGACAAACGACGAGTTGGCAGGAGAAATAATCTCAATGAGATGAGATGTGTCAATACAACTGTCACCAAATATCATTGACTTACAATTAGTGATCTGTGGTTCCCTTTAAAGTAACCTAATTATAAACTATGCAAAATTTTCATAGTCAACCAATCATGACTACATTGGGGTTGGGGGTTCCCCTTTTGCAAAGCAAGACAAAATCGTACATAAAAAGGAATGATTAGCCAGTATATAAGCATTGATATCTTGCCTAAAAAAGGGTTTCCATTAACAGACTGGGTAAATTCAATGGATAGTAATGTCAGTTTGTTTGATGGATATTGGAGATAGGTTAGATAAGAAACAAAGAATCACCGCTCACTCTATCAAATTAATTGACCATTATGTGTTTGGGTTATGACTTATGTTCTGTGTGTCTCTCATAGTTAATCAGCTCCTTTAAATGTTTATATCAAAATATATCTATTCCAATATCCAATGAAATTTGATCAAACAATAAGTTTGCTGAGCCCACCATGCTCTAAAGGAACACTGTATCAAAACTTACCTTTTACGAGAATTAACAGAATACACTAAAACATAACCATCTACAGAAATATAATAACTCTGAGGTAGAATAGAATATTCATCCTGAAAAAAAAGACAATAACAATGTGTTTAATTACAGACTGCAAATGATTACAAATCAATTTTGAGTTCCTTCTCCTTTTTTCTATCCTTAAATTAAAAGTATATCTGTATATATGCAAGAGAATAAAAGCAGGTCAAATAGACTCAAATGTAAATAATCTGCTTCGCCAAGCGCAGCTGGATACAACCGCAGAGGTCCAACCCTGAACAGTTGGGGCAAAAATGACACAATATTCAAGCTTGATACAGGTCTGAATTTGGATTGTAATTAAATATTTGACACATAATAGGTTTCTGACACAGAATAAATGTAGTCAAAGAACTTGAAATTGGTTATATGATTTGAATTTATATTCAATTGAAGATTTTTTGCTTTAGTGCAATACACTGTGCTGTTGTGCAATACTTAGTAAATCTGTTTTCAGACTAATATACAAATAATTAGCAATATAAATTGTGACCCCCCCTCCCTCCTTTCCAAAAAAGGAAATTTTCTTTTTAATTTCTTAAATCTTGTGGGGAAAAAATTGCCCCTCACCAAAAAATTTTTTTTTTTGTTTACCCCCACCCCCCCAAAAAAAATTTTTTACTTCCCTTTCCAAAAAAAAAAACATTTGAAGAAATTTCTTTTTGTAAAATGTGGTACAATTTAAGAGACATCAATACACTTAAACACAAGTTATTGTCTGAAAACTAGAAAAAATGCTTGTTTTAGACCCTTTTTGGCCCCTAATTCCTGAACAATTACCCCCAAAATGAATCCCAACCTTCTACTTGTGGTATTGAACTTTGTGGTACAATTTCAGAGCAATCAAAATACTTATACACAAGTTATTGTCCTGAAACTAGAAAAATGCCTGTTTTGGGCCCCTAATTCCTAAACGGTTGGGACCATCACCCCCCAAATCAATCCCAACCTTCCTTTTGTGCTATTGAACCTTTTGGTTAAATTTCATAGAGATCCATACACTTAAACTAAAGTTAATGTCCGGAAACCAAATGTGTTCGGACGACAACGTTATAGCAATATACGACCCCAAAAATTTTGGGGTTGTATAAAAATCTGTTTATAATTTATAAAGAAGTTTTTGTGAAAAAATTACCATATTAAAATTTTAAACGTTTTAAACATTTTTAAAATTTTTTTCAATTTGTAAGTGCCAACTCACTCCCACAAGTAAAATCAAATTTCTTCATTTGCTTTTCCTTCAGATGATTGAACTGAATGGTTTATTGATCAATGTTAGTGCTATTTGAGTAAACAAATACTTTCTTGTGGACATTTAACAAAATTGCAGTGTTCATTGACCTATTCATTTAAGTATGCACTATTCTTGAATTAAAAATTTCTAAGGGGTTCCCTGGAACCCTGTGTCTGGCCTGTGATTGCTGCTGTCAGTGTAAAAGTGTTATGTTTACTTAACTAGAGGCTCTCAAGAGCCTGTGTCGCTCACCTGTATTTACTGATGCTTTGGAAATCATGTAAAATAAGGTTAAAATCATAATTAATAGTATTAGATATTAGATATTATAATGATATCTAAGATAATAACAAAAAACTGCAAAATTTTTGTAAAATTACTAACTCAGGGGCAGCAACCCAACAAAGGGTCGTCGGATTTGTCTGAAAATTTCAGGGCAGATAAATCTAAATCTGATGAACATTTTTGCCACCTGTCAGATTTGCTCTAAATGCTTTAGTTTCAGAGATATAAACCAAAAACTGCATTTTACCCCTTTGTTCTATTTTTAGCCATGGCGGCCATCTTGGTTGGTTGGCGGGGTCATCGGACAAATTTTGTAAACTAGATACCCTAAAAATGATTATGGCCAAGTATGGTTAAATTTGTATCAGTAGTTTCAGAGAAGAAGATTTTTGTAAAAGATTACAAAAATTTACGAAAAATTGTTAAAAATTGATTATTAAGGGCAATAACTCCTAAAGGGGTCGACTGACAATTTTGGTCATGACAACTTATTTGTAGATCTTACTTTGCTGAACATTATTGCTGTTTACAGTTTATCTCTATCTATAATAATATTCAAGATAATAACCAAAAACTGCAAAATTTCCTTAAAATTACCAATTCAGGGGCAGCAACCCAACAACAGGTTGTCAGATTTGTCAGAAAATTTCAGGGCAGATAGATCTTGACCTGATAATCAGTTTTACCCTATGTCAGATTTCCTCCTTAATGCTTTGGTTTCAGAGATATAAGCCAAAATCTACATTTTACCCCTATGTTCTATTTTTAGCCATGGCGGCCATCTTGGTTGGTTGGCGGGGTCATCGGACACATTTTTGAAACTAGATACCCTAATGATGATTGTGGCCAAGTTTAGTTAAATTTGGCCCAGTGGTTTCAGAGGAGAAGATTTTTGTAAAAAGCTAACGACGACGGACGACGACGACGGACGACGGACGCCAAGTGATGAGAAAAGCTCACTTGACCCTTTGGGTCAGGTGAGCTAAAAAGTGAGTCTATTTTTCAGTAAAAAACAGAATTCCCAAAAAAATTCAAACTTTTTCTTTAGATGCTTTTTCTTGGTCTTAAAGATTAGCTTCTGTCCAAGTTTCATAGCAATCCACAAAGGTTTACAAATTTATTATGTCAAAGAAATTTAATCCCAGTCTGTCCGTAAATGTTAACTGTAAAAATCGAAGTCAATCTATCAAATAATACTATAAGTGAAAAAAATATTTTTTCAAAGGTTTGCTTCAGACATTATCTCTTAATCATTAAAAAGCTTCTGCCAAAGTTTCATAAAACTTTATGAAGGTAGGACAAAGTAATTGATGAGTACCAAGCTTTAACCCAAGATTGTATCTACTTGTTAACTGTAAAAAATCTAAGTCCATTTATCAGTAAAATACGGAAAATAAAAATAAATATTTTTAAAATTTTGCTCTGGATACTGTTTTTTGGTCATAAACAAGCTTCTGTCTAAATTTCATAAAATCCATAATGGTTTGACAAAGTTATTGATGACTGAATAACTTTAACCTCAGACTAAATCTGAATGTTAACTGTACACAAGAGTGCACACACTGAAATGTCTCGCCTACTATACTGACCATTGATTTTATGTTGATAGTCCTACATATAAAGTTTTACTACAAGTATCACATTAACATTTATGATCCAAGAAAATGAGGTCAAGGTCAGATAAACCAAGCTGGAAATACATGTACACCTTTAATACAATCCCTCCATACACAGAATATAGATGACCTATTGCTTATAGTATAAAAGAAACAGACCAAACTATGGAAATTCTATATTGACCTATATAAGGTCAGATGATACCTGCCAGACAGACATATACACCTTACAATCATTCCATACACCAAATATAGTTGACCTATTGCTTAAAGTGTAAGAAAAACAGACCAAAACACAAAAACTTAACATAAGCAATGAACCATGAAAATGAGGTCAAGGTCAAATAAAACCTGCCAGACTGACATGTACATCATTAAATATTTCCATACACCAAATATAGTTGACCTACTGCATATAGTATTAGGAAAACAGACCAAAACACAAAAACTTAACATTTAGCAATGCACCTTGAAAATGAGGTCAAGGTCAAATAAAACATGCCAGACTTACATGTACATCGTAAAATATTTCAATACACCAAATATAGTTGACCTACTGCATACAGTATTAGAAAAACAGACCAAAACACAAAAACTTAACATTGAGCAATGAACCGTGAAAATGAGGTCAAGGTCAAATAAAACTTGCCAGACTGACATGAACATCGTAAAATATTTCCATACACCAAATACAGTTGACCTATTGCATACAGTATTAGAAAAACAGACCAAAACACAAAAACTAAACTATGACCACTGAACCATGAAAATGAGGTCAAGGTCAGATGGCACCTGCCAGTTGGACATGTACACCTTACTATCATTACATACACCAAATATAGTAGACCTATTGCTAATAGTATCTCAGATATGGACTTGACCACGAAAACTTAACCTTGTTCACTGATCCATGAAATGAGGTCGAGGTCAAGTGAAAACTGTCTGACGGGCATGAGGACCTTGCAAGGTACACACATACCAACTATAGTTATCCTTTTACTTATAATAAGAGAGAATTTAACATTCCAAAAAATCTGAACTTTTTTTTCAAGTAGTCACTGAACCATGAAAATGAGGTCAAGGACATTGGACATGTGATTGATGGAAACTTCGTAACATGAGGCATCTATATACAAAGTAAGAAGCATCCAGGTCTTCCACCTTCTAAAATATAAAATTTTAAAAAGTTAGCTAATGCCGCCGCCGCATCACTATCCCTATATCGAGCTTCCTGCGACAAAAGTCGCAGGCTCGACAAAAAAACTAAGTCCATTTATCTGTAAAATATGGAAAAATGAAAATAAATATTTTCAAAATTTTGCTCAGGATACTGTCTTTTGGTCATAAACAAGCTTCTGTCTAAATTTCATAAAATCCATAATGGTTTGACAAAGTTATTGATGACTGAAAAAATTTTAACCACAGACTGGACCTAAATGTTGACGATGCCAACAACAGAATCTAGGATTGCTATGTCTCGCTTTCGCAGGCTCGACAATAAATGAATCAATCAATGCTAAAAAAATACCAAATGACACATATCAAAACTTTTCCGTTTACATTCCACTTATCTTTATGGAATTATGGCATAATTACATGTACCTACAAACTTCAATACTCTCAATGTTTTATTGTGATTGCTATAGACCTTATTGCTATTTAGTCCAATGCGGGAAAAACAGTTACTTAGACAACTTCCTGTAGGGGTCATGTGTTGCAAAAACAAAGGCCATCACTCATCAGTAATGAGCAGAGGTACAATTGGGAATAACAGTAATCTGACATTGTACTGTACAAAGTTATATGATGGCAGTTTTATAATAATTCTAACTGAAAAGAATTTGAGCCATGTACAACCAACCTGTCCTGCAGTATCAACAACTTCTAAGGCATACTCTTGTCCTTTAATCTTTAAACTCTTGTGGAAGGCTATAAAATACATGATGCTTATTATTTAGTTTGGAATATATACTATGTACAACAACAAAAAGTGTGGATGTATTGAAATGTCTTAAAGCTGACTTGATGCATTATATCAAAACTTATAATTGTGAGAATGCAGAAATGTACAAACTAGAGGCTCTAAAGAGCCTGTGTCGCTCATCTTGGTCTATGTGCATATTAAACAAAGGACACAGATGGATTCATGACAAAATTGTGTTTTGGTGATGGTGATGTGTTTGTAGATCTTACTTTACTGAACATTCTTGCTGCTTACAATTATCTCTATCTATAATGAACTTGGCCCAGTAGTTACAGTGGAAAATATTTTGTAAAAATTTACAAAAATTTACAAAATTTATGAAAATTGTAAAAAATTGACTATAAAGGGCAATAACTCCTTAAGGGGTCAATTGACAATTTTGGTCATTTGACTTATTTGTAGATCTTACTTTGCTGTACATTATTGCTGTTCACAGTTTATCTCCATCTATAATAATATTCAAGATAATAACCAAAAGCTGCAAAATTTTCTTAAAATTACCAATTCAGGGGCAGCAACCCAACAACATGTTGCCTGATTGGTCTAAAAATTTCAGGGCAGATAGATCTTGACCTAATGAACAATTTTATCATTGTAAGATTTGCTCTAAATGCTTTGGTTTCAGAGATATGAGCCAAAAACTGCATTTTACCCTATGTTCTATTTTTTAGCCATGTTGGCCATCTTGGTTCGCGGGCGGGGTCATGGGACATGTTTTTTAAACTAGATACCCTAATGATGATTGTGGACAAGTTTGGTTAAATTTGTCTTAGTAGATTCAGAGGAGAAGATTTTTGTAAAAGATTACAAAAATTTACGAAAAATGGTTAATATTGACTATAAAGGGTAATAACTCCTTAAGGGGTCAACTGACCATTTTAGTCAAGTTGACTTATTTGTAGATCTTACTTTGTTGAACATTATTGCTGTTTACAGTTTATCTCTATCTATAATAATATTCAAGATAATAACCAAAAACGGCAAAATTTCCTTAAAATTACCAATTCAGGGGCAGCAACCCAACAATGGGATGACAGATTCATCTGAAAATTTCAGGGCAGATAGATCTTGACCTGATAAACAATTTTACCCATGTCAGATTTGCTCTAAATGCTTTGGTTTCAGAGATATAAGCCAAAATCTACATTTTACCCCTATGTTCTATTTTTAGCCATAGTGGCCATCTTGGTTGGTTGGCCAGGTCACCGGACACATTTTTTTAACTAGATACCCTAATGATGATTGTGGCTAAGTTTGGTTAAATTTGGCCCAGTAGTTTCAGAGGAGAAGATTTTTGTAAAAGTTTACGGACGACGAATGCAGGACGACGGACTCCAAATGATGAGAAAAGCTCACTTAGCCCTTTGGGCCAGGTGAGCTAAAAAGTATTAGGGTTTGCTTGTATGTTGTGCTATTATTCCAAATTTCCCTGTTAGGGGAGGATTGTTTATCACTTCCATTATCTATATATATGTCTGTCCCACGTCAGAAGCCTGTATGGCTGTAATGCAATGTTTGTGGTGAGTTGCTGTCTGCCATATTTGTTATTAAATTAGCATTAATCTGGCTGTTGGTTTTCTGTTTTAAATTAATTCAAATTATGTGCTGCTGGGGTGTTTAATACATGTAGCTTACTATATGGTTTAATAGCTTACTATATGGTTTGTGTTTGACTCTTTGTTGAAGGCTGTTCAAAGATCTAGTTGTTTACAACCTCATCCTTTGGTCTCTGGTGGATATTTATCTCATTGGAAATCATACAATATCTCCTCATGTCTATATTAAATTTGATTAAAAAAACAACCAGAAAAAAATTCCTTCACAGAAAACTTGTTAATTTGTGTTTATACATTTCCATAGTTTTGCATTTTAACAAAGTATTCATTGTTGTGACAAAAATTAACAAATTGATAAAATCCAATGTGCTTTTAAACATTTAATCTAATACCACCTAGGGTTCTCACAAGATTTAGGGCGAGTCCAGGGATTCATCACTTATTTATCATGTAGAACATTTGATAGTTAGTAAATGATTCCGCTGATATTAACCTCAATAATCCAGTGTTAAAGTTTGTTAACTGTGACCATTACCATTCCACTAAATTAACTTTATCTATGAAGCTTCAAGCCAATAGAGGATATATAGATAAGAATTATTAAATGTTCTATGACCTTACCAAAATCAACTGAGCTGCACTAGAGCTCCAGGACTCATAATAATCTTAGAGAGAACCCTGATCACTTTTAGAATATGAGATTGGAGTATTGTACTTACTGTTTTCTATTGTTGGATCATATGAGTCAACAAACTGTTTTTCTATAAACTGAATGGTTACTGATGATTTTCCTACAATATATAAGATAAAACATAAAAAGGCTAACAGGAAGTACTTGCTTCGTTTGATACTTTGTAAGGTGTTTGCCGGTTTTTTAATGTTTTTCTGTTTATCAATGGAATACACAGAAGTATTAAAGAAACTAAGTTTTACTTAAAGTTCCAAATCACCTGTTTTTTTTCCATTATTAAAATAAATATATGATACAAATTTTAATGTGTGCCACTCATGTTTTTAGAATAACTAATAAAGCTTTTCAGGCAAATGAGACAACAGTTCTGGGTAGATTGTCAGGTGAATTTCCAGTAATAAACACCTGGCAAGTGACTTATCTATAGAAATTTATTGTAATGACTTGATTAACCATGGGGCACACTTTAGATGTCAAACTGTGATTCAAGTATTTAAGGGCATATATAGGGCCAGGGTTTCTGCTGGTGGTCACCATTATTGCAATTTGCAATAGATTGAAGAAGGATCACGACCTGTTGATGTTTCAGATACACATTTAATTATTTCCTTTTTAATGAATTTAACAGTACCCATAAATGTAACCTCAATTTCAAATTGGTCATTTTCTTTCATTGGTAGGATGCATACAATTTGTATTTCTATTATTATTCATTTAATAAAATATTACATCAGTAGTGGAAATGAAGCTCCAAGTGGGAAAGTCGTTGTGACTTCAGGGAAATTTATTTAGATATGCCTGTTATGGTCTCATTGACATTTACCAAACCTTTTTTTCAGTTTCAGCACATTGTTCCTATCCTTTATTAAAGAAGTTAGTAAATTAAGACCGAGTTGAAAATTAGGATTTTTATCGTAACAATTGAGTTGAGGCGAAAAAAAAATAATGTCTTTCCTGCCAAAAAATTTTATTTTATTATTGTAAGGGGAAATGCACGGTGTGGGTCACTTGACTCCACGTCTCCATGTCCTTAAGGATAGTTATTCATATAAAGACATATTAATAATGCCACACTTGACTCCTAGATATCATCTTGAACCATTGAAATATATGCTCAATCAATAGTTTTACAATTAATCATATAGGAAAACAATTATTAATATTATCAGCTTTTTATTACTAGTATATGGAAATTGAGACTATTATAACTAATGTTGGATAATCAATTGAAATTACCAACCGATTATCTATTACTATCGGTTGACACTGCCAATTTAACAGTTTACGTCAGAACTTCGAATTTGAATCAAAGAAAGTTTAATATCGTTTTTTTTAAATATCAATCATTGGGATGGCCAACTCGGCAACTGATTACCATAATTGCCTTTTGTTTATTTAGTCTTAAGGGATTAAAATCGGGATAATATATAAAATGTCCGGCTGGCTAAAAATAATTTTGGAAGCCCTGGAACTTGACAGCAACCAACAATCGGTTATAATCGCATCATTAAACCTTGCCCTTTTTTATATGAAATCATGCATTCAGGCTTCAGCCATATTGTACATATCTAATGCATATATTCCATACCATTGCAGAGTTTTATATGTTCATGTTTGATCTTTTGTTTCCTTTTCATATTTTATTTAGCAATTTAAACAGTGAATGAATTAGAATCCAAATTCAAATTGAACATGTTTTGTCTTATGATTACAACATTTATTACCAATATTGACACTAAAATTTCTAAATTTCAATGTTATCACTCACATTATAATTTTAAAAACAGAGCTGTATCAAAATTTGAATGTTTTTCATTAAAAAAAAAGATATATAAATTAACTTTAAGCAATTTAAAATTAATCAATAAATAAAACAATGAATTTGCATTGAAATATATACATTAAACTAAGGGGGTCCAACCAATGCCTGTTAATTCATGTGGAATGCGTATTTTTCACTTTTGTGATCATTATTCTTCTGTCAGCAGTGTCATTCATGCATCTGTACTTATGATCATAAGAATATGGAATTCTTTCAAAGTTGGTCCGTATCTGATCTGTGATTCGTATTATATTTCAATAGCGGGCAAACTGGGAAAACTTTACAAAAATAAACGATGTTGGACAAACAATTTGGAAAGGAATTTGACGTTTTTGAACGTTACAAATGGATGACACATTAATAAAAAGTAATTTTTACCGCGTTTTTACATAGAAACAAATTTATTTTGTCGAAAATCAGAATGATTTGATGTACGCTCTCAAGTAAAAAGTACTGTAAGTGAAAAAATTATTTCCATGTTTATAAAGAAAGAGATTGCTTATGTCTTTGATTATAGGATGTTTGACATTGTTATTGTCATCTACTGATATTTTTATTACAATTTGTTTGACTGCATGTAAAATGTAAATCATAAACGGACCGGAAATTGATATGCATAAGGTCCGGAAACTATAACGACAATTGATTGAACATAATCTCAACCGATTATCGATATCGTAAAGCCCAACCCATTTCTGACTTATTCCGATCTTCGGAGCAACACTAAAGTCTATAACACAGTATAGTAGTCTCAGATGAAGGGTTATAATATTAAGAAAACCTGATAAAACAAAGACATCAAACCATTATTCCCTATTATCATGATTATTGTCATTCTTCATGTCCAGATGTGTTCCCAATTGCTGCTTGATGAATGAAGGCAATTAGGCAGTGTCTGCGCGTACCCGCATGCGGGTACGAATAGTCAAATTGCCATTCATAGGCTACGCGTACCCACATCCGGTTTTATAATAAAATGCCATCGGATCGGGAATGAAACGTGAAATATATACGGAAATTATCTATAATATGGAGATTTCGTGTAGAACAATTTGTTCAGAACTATCAGTCGATTTATTTTATACAATTGTATAAAAGAAACTCTGAGTCAATTGCAGCTGCAGAGAAAAGAAGCTCTGGAAACACAAAAATTAAAGAGGAATGAAAGTTTAACAGAATAAATTTTTCATGTATTCACGGTGGCAAAAAATTCCAAACAAGTTCGACAGGAAAAATACCTAATACAAGGTATTTGTTTTAAATTGTAGTTTTAAATCGAATTTGCCGCGTTTCATTCATTAGTCAAGTTTATTTTTTTTTATGTCGAATACTTCTAGTTTTGTCATTGTAAACCGTTCATGACATTAAGGATATGTCTACTTTCAGTACTTTCCAAATGGAATGTCCTTTCCACTTTAAACTTGGCGTAACTAAAGATGGACAAAACCTGATTGTGAGGGAATCACACAGTTCTCACAATCATGAGATCAATAAATGTTTATTTGACCATCTTCCTAGACAAAGGAAACTAGATGACCATACACTAGAAGGTGTGAAAATCAGTAAAATTTTATTCTTTAAATTTGCATTTACATTTTACAATAGTATTAATTTTTATCATGTTTTTCTTTTACAGGGACTGTACAGTTTCATTTTCCATCAGTGTGCATTTAATTTGCAACGTTTATTATGTATCATTATCTAATAAATCATACAATTTGAAAATATTATTTTTCTTACTCTTCACTCGTTCTACACGAAATCTCCATATTATCGATAATTTCCGTATATATTTCACGTTTCATTCCCAATCCGATGGCATTTTATTATAAAACAGGATGTGGGTACGCGTAGCCTATGAATGGCAATTTGACTATTCGTACCCGCGGGTACGCGCAGACACTGAAATGAATGAACTGTCCCAGTTGACCTGGTGTCATATGAGGGGAAAGCCCCATAGGACATTGTTACATGAAGTGATGTCGGATGATTATGTGTAACTTTAGGGAGCTCACACATATATTTCCCACAAATAAAAATGAGATAGGATAACCATTTTAAGACTAAAGGGAGTGTCAGACTGAGTGATTGGGTGTCAGATGAGTAGGGTATGAAAAGAAAAAATAATAAGATAGAGAGAAACCAACCAACAGATCTGAAGCCCATTAAGGCTACTCTTTTGTGTTTTGCTGCCATTTCTGTTGATCACAACATATAAAAGGACAATGTCAGTTTTTTAGTGAATGTAAACACGTTTGTTTTTGTTTTCAAACCATGTCAATGTCGCATTGCAAAATTAATGTTGACTTCCGGTGATGAATGTTTTTCAGAGTTACATCCCCTTGATAGTACAAAATTGTAAAATGGACAAGTCGCCCTGATGTCGACTCGCCTTTTACATATTAAGTACAAATTCATAAAATGGCCGAATAACCCTGTTAATTTGCCGACTCGCCTTCAACCTTTTCTTTGTCGAACAAAGAAAGTTCGAAATAGATATGAATAATCAATTAACCAATTTTAATATGAGGCAGGTTTTTTTTTAGAGTTGCAACTGGAAGCAAGAAACAACTGTTATGAGTTTAATCAACTAACGAAAACGCATGGACACTTAAAAAAACAAATAAACATCGATCTATCATCTTACTAAGTTTCCACGTGCTCCCTGATAATGTGTTTATTGTTAACCTTGATCTCGATCTTGATAGTCCCTTGATATCAATCACATGTGTACCGGACGGTCACGTCCTTGGATATAAAAATAAGGAGATGTGTTATGATTGCCAATGAAACAATTATCCACAACAGTTCAAATGAAGTGGACGTAAGCAATTATAGGCAATCGTACTGCCTTCAACAATGAGGAAAACCCATACCGTATAGTCGGCTATAAAATTAAGGCCCCGACATGAAAAATATGAAACAATTCAAATGAGAAAAAAACGGCCCAATTTATAACAAAACAATTGTCGAAAAACAAATATGACAGACATGAACCAACGACAACCACTGAACTACAGACTCCCGGCTTGGGACAGGCACATAAAGAATGTGGCGGGGTTAAACATGTGTACAAGGTAGGAGGCTGAATTTCAAGGTGTCCGTCTTGGCTGGAATTCTGAGTATGTGTTGACCATACATTTCCTTTGTTGGTCATTATGGTCGTTGAAGATTTTCTGCTGGTATACAATCCGCCTTTGCAAAATACAATCAGTCTGTTTTGTCTTCACCTATCTTTCAGTGTTTCTAGTTTGATTTGGTTTAGGATAAAAGACATATATACCACAGGCACTTGTCTCTGAAATAATCCTGTATACCTTAATATTAAAGTACCTGCGTCATATACTACCTGTTTCGTTCTGTAGTTCGATGTTATGAAGCTTGCTGGTCTTTTCTTGACGTTTTCTAGTTTGCCCTGTAAATATATTTGATGAGGGTCCAATACTGCATAATAGTAAAGGACACTAGTCTGACAGGTCTAATTAATCCCTGGTACGCCTGCAGCTTTACCCCCATAGAACATGATGACTGATTTCGTTTTAACAACTTATGAGTTCTATAAGATTTTTTGCATATATCATCGATGTGTCCCCACCCCAATGTAAATCGCTACTGATGGTCACTCCCGTGTATTTTATTGGTTTTAAGCTATATGTCTTTCAAGGTGTCTATGTCTTTATTCTTTCTGTCGCACCAATCAGCCGTGATTGTTGTATAATAACTTGAGATTGATCTATCATTTTTTAGACAGTAAGCAGATGTTAGCACTTTTCCATTCAACTGGCATGGATCCCTTGTCGATAGCTTGTTGAAAGAAATGAGCCATTACCTCCGAGAGTTCAGTTATCGTTGACCGATCGTGACCTTGATGGTACTGAAAGGTTTAGATATTGCAAAAGCAACTGGCCCAGACAAAATTCACTTAAGAGTGCTCAAAGAGCTGATAACTGAACTCTCGGAGGTAATGGCTAATTTCTTTCATTACTCTGTTTCTGTTTCTGTCGGGTAATAGCCTCCTTTATTTATTTTTTTTCTGACAAGTTCCGTTTGCAGGAGAAGACCTCATGTAAGCAACCTTTGTGCTGTGATCCAACGGAAATAACTATATACAATTTAAACTTTAAAAACTGACGAAAAACAGTAGTACGGCATCAATAAGTGAGTGTGGTACTTGGTATGCTTTTAAATGTATATTTCTCCCTTGACGCACTGGTGGTGTGAGTCGCCCTTTTTTAGATATCGCTACCATATTATTTTCTATTCTATTAAACATCACAAGTCTGGTTTCCTTTCTTCGTTGTTGTAGTGATTTCCTTTATAGGTGATGTATCATTTCTTTGACGCTAGCAGTTGGTTTCTACATATTTGTCACGTATCTGGAAGCTCTTCTTTGTATCTGTTCTATTTTGTAGATAGATTCTTTTGTGGTTGGGTCCAAAACAGTTGAGGCATATTCTAGCCGTGGTCTTACCAGTCCAATATACGCTTGGCTTTTTACTTTTGTTGAGGAAATTCTAAAGTTTCTCTCACAGGCATTTGTCTCTGAACATTTTTTCCACTACATACCTTAATATAACACCAGGATTTTCTTTTACAGAGACAAATGCCTGTGGTTTCTTCGCAAAAATCCGACTGTTTTATTTGCTTTACGATACGATACGAAAAAATATTTCTCCATGCGGATAAAGATAAGAGGTACTTTCGATTAGATAATACAAGATGTCTCTTCAGCTCACCTGGCCCAAGGGCCAAGTGAGCTCAGTTTCTCATCACTTGGCGTCCGTCGTCCGTCGTCGTCCGTTGTCGTTGTCGGCGTCGTCGTTAACTTTTTACATTTTGAACTTCTTCTAGAGAACCACTCCATGGAATGAAACCAAGCATGGCATGACTGTTCCTTATGAGGTGTTGACCAAGTGTTGTTACTTTGTAGCTGATCCATCATCCAAGATTGCCACCAGCGGGGGACTTCGTTTAACATAGGACCCTATGGGAAATACATACAAATGTCTTCTTTTAGAGAACCACTTAATGGAATGAAATAAAACATGGCATGAATGTTCCTTATGAGGTGCTGACCAAGTGTTGAAACTTTGTAGGCGACGAATCATCCAAGATGGCTCCCCGCGGGGAACTTAGTTTAACAAAGGACCCTATGTGAAATACAAATGTCTTCTTTTATAGAACCACTGAATGGAATGAAACCAAACATGGCATGAATGTTTCTTATGAGGTGCTGACCAAGTGTTGTTATTTTGAAGCCGATCCATTATCCAAGATGGCCGCCAGAGAGGGATTTAGTTTAACATAGGACCCTATGGGAAATACATACAAATGTCTTCTGTTAGAGAACCACTTAATGGAATGAAATAAAACATGGCATGAATGTTCCTTATGAGGTGCTGACCAAGTGTTGAAACTTTGTAGGCGATGAATCATCCAAGATGGCTCCCCGCGGGGAACTTAGTTTAACAAAGGACCCTATGTGAAATACATACAAAAGTCTTCATTTGAAGAACCACTGAATGGAATGAATTTTAGAAACCAAATATGGCATGAATGTTTCTAATGAGGTGCTGACCAATTGTTGTTACTTTGTAGCAAATCCATCGACCAAGATGGCTGCCAGCAGGGGGAGTAAGTTTAACATATGACCCTATGGGAGATACATACACATGATTTTTTTCTATAGAACCACTAAATGGAATGATACCAAACGTAACATGAATGTTCCTAATGAGGTGCTGACCAATTGTTGTTACTTTGTAGCAAATCCATCGACCAATATGGCTGCCAACGGGGTATTTAGTTTAACAAAGGACCCTATGGGAAATATATACAAATGTCTTCTTCTAGAAAACCGCTTTATTGATTGAAACCAAACATGGTATGAATGTTTCTTTTGAGGTGCTGACCAAGTGTTGTTACTTTGTAGCTGATTTGTCATCCACGATGGCTGACAGCAGGGGGAGTAAGTTTAACATATGACCCTATGGGAGATACATACAAATGATTTTTTTCTATAGAACCACTAAATAGAATGATACCAAACGTGACATGAATGTTCCTAATGAGGTGCTGACCAAGTGTTGTTACTTTGTAGCAAATCCATCGACCAATATGGCTGCCAACGGGGTATTTAGTTTAACAAAGGACCCTATGGGAAATATATACAAATGTCTTCTTCTAGAAAACCGCTTTATTGATTGAAACCAAACATGGTATGAATGTTTCTTTTGAGGTGCTGACCAAGTGTTGTTACTTTGTAGCTGATTTGTCATCCACGATGGCTGCCAGCAGGGGGAGTAAGTTTAACATATGACCCTATGGGAGATACATACAAATGATTTTTTTCTATAGAACCACTAAATAGAATGATACCAAACGTGACATGAATGTTCCTAATGAGGTGCTGACCAAGTGTTGTTACTTTGTAGCAAATCCATCGACCAATATGGCTGCCAACGGGGTATTTAGTTTAACAAAGGACCCTATGGGAAATATATACAAATTTCTTCTTCTAGAAAACCGCTTTATTGATTGAAACCAAACATGGTATGAATGTTTCTTTTGAGGTGCTGACCAAGTGTTGTTACTTTGTAGCTGATTTGTCATCAACGATGGCTGCCAGCAGGGGGAGTAAGTTTAACATAGGACCCTATGGGAAATACATACAAATGTTTTTTTCTACAGAACCACTGAATAGAATGAAACCAAACATGACATGATTGTTCCTAATGAGGTGCTGACCATGTGTTGTTACTTTGCAGCCGAACCATCATCCAAGATGGCCGCCAGCAGGGGACTTGGTTTAACATAAGACCCTATGGGAAATACATACAAATGCTTCTTCTAGAGGAGCACTGAATAGAATGAAACCAAACATGGCATAAATATTCCTTATGAGGTGCTGATGAAACCCTTAATACATGTATCTTTATAGTTTGAGATATACTGTAAACTGCAAAAATATCAAGAAAAGAAGATCTACACATAAGTCAACATGAGTAATATTGTCAATTGACATCTTTTTGGAGTTATTGTCCTTATAAAGTCATTTTCTACAATTTCAATGAATTCATTGGTAATTTCTGTAAACTTTACAAAAGTCTTCTGCTTTTGATTAAATTACGGGCCAATATTAAACCAAATGTGGCCTCAATCATTATTAGGGTATCTGTTATGATTTTAATCTATATTTACATGATTTCCAAAACCAAAGTAGAATCGGGTGAGCGACACAGGCTCTTGATAGCCTCTAGTTTGTTAGTTTTGTCGTTAGATTGATGTTTAATTGACGTACTACACACC